CACAGCGAGCGGGAGCGACGGGCGAGGAGGGAGTTAGGCGAGAAGGGGTTAGAGGGGGACTGGGGAGTCTGAGGAGGGGGTGTGGGATATGTTTTTTTTGCTCAGCCCTGCGCTCCTGCGCTCAAAATCCAAACAAGTCATCGTCAGGAATCGCCGACGGCATCAGTGGCTGAGGCGAGGCGCTGCCCGTCTCGACGACCACCTGGGCGCCCTCCTCGTCGCCTGCCTCCGCCTCGTTGATCACCGCGGAGCTCTCCTCCGCGCTGCGCGTGCGGCCGCTGTCGGCGCCAGGCGCGGCCGCCGCGGCCGCCGCGGCCGGCCTGCGCATGGCAGAGGCTGGCCGCTTCAGAGGGGCTGCAGCCGCGTCTGCGGCAGCCTCGTCCTTCGTCTCCTCCTCCACCTCCTCCTCCTCCTCCTCCTCCTCCTCCTCTTGCAGGGCCTCCTCTTCCTCGTCGCCCTCTGCGTCTTGTGCCTCTGGCTCCTTCTCCTCTGCCTCGTCCTCTGCTGGCATCTTAGGCGCTGACTTCATGGGCTTCGCAGCTGCGCCGCCTGGCTTCTCCATGGCGGTCTTCTTCGACGCTTTCCCGTGCTGCAGCAGCCACTCCTGCTTGCGCTTCTCGAACTTGGTCTTGTTCGCCGTCCAGTCGGCTGTGCTCTTGATGTAGTCCTTCGCGATCGCAGTCACGAAGTCCTTGGCCGATTCGTGATGTTCGTCATTGTACCCCAGCAGCTGCAGCATCTGCTTTGAGCCGACCTTCATCTGGAGCCACTTCACGTCAGCCTTCCTCTCCACCACAACCTTCACGACCGCGCCGTCCTTCTCGCCCTTGAACACGATGCTGTCGCCACCCTTGCCCTTCGCGGGCTCCTCTGCGGACGCGTCCGTGGAGACAGTGCCGACGATCTCCCACTGGACGCCGTCTGGCCACGTGGCCAGCAAAGGCCTCTCTCCCTCCTGCTTCTGGCCTCTCGTGAACTCGGGGTGCTCGGGCCCGCTGGCCTTGCATCGCCAGGCCATCTGACGGGGGAGGGGGCCAGGGGGCAACCAGTAAACACATGCGCTGCTGCCATACTGGCAAGACTGGGTCGGGCGGGGCAGGGTCAGATAGAGGAGCGGAGGTGGAGGAGATCACGGGATGTGGGTTGCTGTTTCAGGAGAGTTCAAGAGAGAAGCGCTTCGACAGAACTAGTCCAACCTGCATTTGCTGGTTGAAGCCGAAGTTCCATCCCTCGCGTGTCTCCAGCGTTTCCATGTTCTTTGATATCCTCCGTTTCTTGCCCGAAGATGCCCCTGAAACTGCATCTTCGGAGTCGGCGGGGGTCGCGGCCGTCCCCTGCGGCGCAAGACGCATGGCCCCCCCCCTTCAGATCGGGCACCCTGAACCAGCGCTTGGACAGACCCCGCGGGTGTTGCCCCATCTGCGACGGCCCAGGGCGCGCGATCCTAGGTGCAGGGTCAGATGTTTACTCGGATGCTCATGTCCTCAGTCTCAGCTTTCGTCTTGAACTGCTTTGCCCAATTCAATTTCCTGGCCAGGCCGGAGCTCGAGCTGCGACACGCGGGCCTTGCATTTTTACATCAGTTGCGGCTAATGCCACTCCGCCGACCCAGGGCCCGATCTGACTGTTCAATTGAAAAAGAAACACATAACATTGACCCGTGTGTCTTGTGCAGCGCTTGCTCGGCGTGCCTGATCAAGTTCCTCATTTTTTTGCCATGTCATCTGCCCATGCGTCTTGCTCATCGGCAAGCTTCCACTTTGCTTCGTGGTGGGCAGCGACCTTGAGGAATATGTCCTGCACGTGGCACTTGCACGCAGGGTCTGTCTCAATCCCGCAGCCGCGTTCCCCTGCCCCCGCGTTTTCGACGGGCCCCGATGACTACCCGCGTGCGTTTCTACCCCAGAAGACCCGGCCGCGAGAATGAGAGACCCCGCATGCACACCCCGCGTCCTTCGCCACGCTCTGGCTCAGCGACACGCCAGTGTGGCTGAGGATCTCCCTTGTCGCTACGATGATGTCTTTGTACTGTTCCATCTGCTCTCGATTCTGCTTCGCATCGTGGAGCTTCTCAGTCGTGTACTCTATCTGGTCAGCCTTCGAATGCGAATGCTTGACGGGACGTGCAAGTGCGGTTCGAGGGTGGATTTTGCGAGCGATCGTTGTTGGGCAAACTTGGTTTTTAATGTTTCGTAACGTGCAGCAATTTCCATTTCGCTTTCCATCTCGTCACGCATTCGAAACGAAATGTGACATGGCGATCGCTCGCAAGATCCCCCCCCGCCAATCGCGCTCGCACTCTCGGCAAGCAACCGCAACTCTGTGCTTACTGGGTCGCCCCCCCACCCTTGCCTTGGTGATCCAGAAACACCACGTCGCTGCCACCATGGCGGCCCGCGGACACACCGCCGCGTCGCCCATCTCGGCGGCGCTGAAGCAGGGCTGCGCCGCCGCGGAGGGCGCGGCGCTGGGCTGGAACCGTGCCACTGGCCGATTGTTTCCGAAGGGGGTTGGGCCACATCGCCCAGGAGGGGTCGACAGTCGAGGCGATTTCTTCGCTGGTCCCTGGGGTCGATGGTCGAGAACATCCGCTGCGCCCTTTCGACGCCAGACGCCGATAGACGCTCGCTCGATCGATGGTCGGTGCGTGGATCGAACTGTTCTTGTCTATCGGCGCGAGGCGTCGAATGGGCGCGAACGACTGCATATCGATGCATCCACGGGCTGGGCGAGGGGTGATGCCGAGCTGGGCCCACGCGATGGGAGGGGCGGAGATGACAGGAAAGCAGAGGAGTGGACATGCCCATGCGAGAGAGCGCAAGAGGAGCTGGGTAGGGAGAGACGGAGAGGGCAGGGTGGGGCGGGAAAGCTGAATGTTTGCGGTGATCAGATACGTGCACACTGGCCTCAGATAGGCTGCGCTGGGAGAGCGGGAAGAGGGAGGGGAGGGGGTGGGCCGTGGGCGAGGGGGGGTGGGCACGGGCCGAGTGGCGACGGTCTAGGAAGAGAACGAAACATAGCTATACACGTTATATCTGTATGTCTCTGAACCTCTAAATGCCACACAGTTGTCTATATATAAATGTATGTAGACACGTTTATCTGTATACAGATATAGGTAAGCATATCGGTAGATCGGTCTATATATAGTGTACAGACATATGTATATAAAGTATATGCAGATATGTCGAGATTATGTATGCATGTATCGATCAATACGCGTGTCTTCTTAACTAGAGGAAGACATCACACATAAAAAACGACAGAGGGGGGAGGGTGGGGAGACAGCAAGAGTGAGAGTGAGAGAGAGAGAGAGAGAGAGACAGAGAGAGGAAGAGAGAGACACCTGGATAGAGAGATAACGAGAGAGCGAGAGAGAGAGAGAGAGAGAGAGAGAGAGAGAAACTAACAAACAAAACAAACAAACAAAAACGAGAGAGCGAGGGCGAGAGCCTGAGCGAGGGGGACGGAGAGAAAAAGATAAGGAGAGAGGGATAACGAGAGACAGAGAGAGAGAGAGAGAGAGAAAACAACGAGAGAAAGAGAGAGAGGGAGAAAGAGAGAGAGAGAGAGAGAGAGAGAAGAGAGAGAGAGGAGGGGGATGGGGGTGGCGGTGAGGGGGGATAGAGAAGAGATATCTCTATATATAGAGAGAGAGAGAGAGAAAAAAAGAGAAAGAGAATGCGCATGGACACCGAGGGCGCGAGCGAATGAGAGAGCGAGGGGAGCGGAAGGGGCGAGGGGGCGAGGGAGGGGGGGGGAGAGAACGAGAGAGTGAGAGAGAGAGAGAGAGAGAGAGAGAGAGAAACGGGGGGAAGGGAGAGAGAGAGAGAGAGAGAGAGAGAGAGAGAGAGAGAGAGAGAGAGAGAGATAGAGAGAGAGAGAGAGAGAGAGTGAGAGGGAGAGGGTGGGAGAGGGGGGGAGTGAGAGAGAGAGAGAGGGAGAGAGAGAGAGAGAGAGAGAGTGAGAGAGAGGGGGGAACAATCAATCACGAAAAAGAGAAAGGAGAAAGACACGCTCAACAAGGAAGCAGCCGCGCGGGCTCGCTCCTTGAGCTCCTTGAACAGATCCTCCGCCTGAGACGCCACCTGGCGCCGATGCTTCTGGGGCGTCTCGGGGTCCTGGGCGATCGGGCGAGGAGGGCGAGGGGCTCGCGCAGGAGCAGAGGGTGAACAAGTAAGACCAATCTGGACCAGGTAAGTCT